CCTGGACACTGCAGAAAAGACTTAGCAGGCTGTGAATGAGATGAGGTTAGCTGGAAGAGTGATGTGGCTATTTTCAAATATTTGAAAAGCTTTAATACATGTACAGTGAGCTCAGCAAAGCCACTACTGAGGACACAATTTGGAGAATCGTCATCATACAAGTGGCAGTTTATATTACCAGAGCCAAAGAGGGTGCTCGAAAAGCAATGAAAAGGGAAAATCCGGGGTGGTGGGTTGAGCTCCTGGCCATGGCCAGGTTCACTGGCATAAAAAGGGAGGGCAGAGGATGTGAAGTCTACACAGAAGATGGGAAGGAAGTCACAGGATGGCAGATTTTATCTCAATACAAGGGAATAAAGAACACTAGATTCGTAGTTAGAGACACAAAAGGCAGTGCATCCCCTTTAAATTCAGAGGCAGACTGTTCCTCTGTATCGTGAGAAAGAGGGTAAGTAGAACTCTAAGCTGCCTTCCAGCTCTAGGATCCTGTGGTATCGTGTCAACACTGAATTGTTCAAATAAGAGGAAGAGGAAAGTTTTTTGAGGGGTGGAACTGGCATGCAGAAAACACTTTTCAAGAAGTTTATTACTCTATCATCAAGGACTGCGAGGGAAAGAGGGAGCGGAGAGATGGCAAGGATGAGGACACCAGCGGGTGAAGGGTGCCTGAGCCCCAGCATCAGTTACTAAAATGCTCATCATGCTTCCAACCAGGACCACTGATCTGACACGCGATACGACCATACAAAAATTTGGGAAACCATGCCAGGGTATTGTTAGGACCTGGAAATGAGGGCCTCAGTAGGGTAAGGGAAACAGCCACGGAGAACCAGGAGCTGATGCAAGAGAGATGAAAGAGGAAGAATTTATGGAATCTGGTGACTTATTGCATATGCTGGGAGAGAAGCGCAAAAGTAAATATAGTTTTGCTGATGTCTGGATATGGGGGAGGGGCCAAGGAAGAAAAAGCCTAGTCAGGTATCACACAGTTATGATTTCTGAGGATTTCAGAAGATGACAGCCCCAAGGAGAGAAATGCGGGTGCTCTGGGAAGAGGTAACTCACTGTAAAGCACCTGTGTTTATTTAGTTCATGGTAATTTATCGATGACCTTCTCTCAGAGGTGCTGAAAAGAACGAGCCCTAGTTCCTTCTGGTTAGCCCTTCTGTCCAGCAGGGTCCAAGTGACACTGGCGCTGTGCACATCACTTGTATGTATTGCTGTAGAATAGCAAAGTGCTCTGGAGACAGACACTCTAGGTCCATGGTGGCTCCAGTACTCGGTGGCTGTGTGGTCTTTTAATCTCTGTGTCCCAATTGCCTGACTTGTAAAATGGGCTGTATAAGTGTTCTCACATAAAAGCGTTCCAGAATTAATTAAAATACAATATGTTTACAACTATTCTTGGTACATGGTAACTGTTCAGTAAATATTTGCTCTTATTTTACTACGACGACAACTGCTATTACTATTGCTACCACTACCTTAAACAAATCAATAGTAAAATCCCGTCGCATATGTTATGGAGTTAAGCAAGCTAAAATATAGTTAGTCCAAACTGTTGGAGTCTTTCAAACTGGGCACTGCCCAAGATTCCTGCCATGTCATGGCTAGAGTACTGAAACTCTGAATGGCTTGAGAGAGGTCATGAAATACAGCTCAGGGTGCCAAGGCCGTGTGGCAACCCCCACGAGTCCTCCAGCATCATCCTGCCCCAAGGACCCCTCTCCACGGAGGCCTGCTTCACTTCCTGGGAAGCCTTGCTCAGTGGTTTCACACTTTCACTGTTATTCCAAGAAAGGGTTTCTCTTATTTACTGGATTATACAATTTGGTGTGTATATAAAAAGCTTTTCTTCATGCCTCACACCATCTCCCTAGTCTATTATAAATTATGAAAGGCTTCCCCAAAAAAGAACATTCTAAAAGAATGAGGAAGTGTTTAACAAGAGCAAAAGAAAGAGCACTGGATTAAAGTTCAGAGTCTACTGTTGATTTAGTGCGTACGTTTTCAGTCCTTGGACATTTTTCCCTCACTTATAATATGGGAATTACACCCATCTGGTCAATTCAACTTCATAACGCTGGCCTGCAGGTCAAGTGAATGAAGTGAAACATAAAAGCACGGTGGATATGCAAAATACTTTAGAAGACAGTCATAATATCACTATATTGGCCTCAATTATTCTCAAACGATAAAAGAGACCTAGGAGAGTCTCCAAACTTGAAGAATATCACTGAAATCGTTTTCTTCCACTATATTCAGTCTTATCAGCAGTTCTACCGCTTCTCAGAGTCATTCTGAGGATTAAAAGAAGATCATGTGTTAAATGGAAATAATAAATTCAGCATGATGTAGTAACACTAACATTGAGGTGCCAGGCACTATGCTCGGAACTTTACATGCATCGTCTTACTCAGTTTCTTCAAATGACACTCCAATAAGGAAACTAGGTTGTTCCTGTTTTGCACATGAGAAAACTACAATTCAAAGAGTTTAAATAACTCACACAAGGAGTCATAGTCAAAGCCGGGATTTGAAGTCAGGTCTCGAAGTCCCTGTTTGTATTGCCAGGGCACACCCTTTACTAGCTGGATGACTCACTCTCTCCTAAATACCAGCCTCACAGGCCCAAGATGCCAATGTGGACCTGCAGGGAGGTTCTCCAACAGGCTCATCCACAGTGTGTCTGTGAAAGCTAAGGATCTATGAATTTCACAGAAACAACAATCTAAATATTCTTCAAAAATAATTTATACTTTTAATACCTACTTTCTATAGCAGCAATTATTTTTGTATCATCTTCATCTAGCAATTAAGATATATGACACACTCTATGTTACCACATATATTAAAATATCAAAATACTCATCTTTTAGGAATCATTTGTAATATCCAAATATACATCTTTGGGGGGAAATGTATCCTAGTGACATAAAAAGAGCTGAATTTCTCTTGAAACACCCTTGGCATTCAAAGCCAAAAAGAATAAAGAAAAAGTGGCATGAAATAGAGAAAGCAGCACAGAATCAGATCGATCTGGGTCTCACAGATAACTCCTTCCACCATTTACAAACTTTATCACTTGACCAAGTTAATTATTTCTTCAAGTTTCTGTTTCTTCATCTATAAAATGAGAACACTGGCACATACCTCACTAGGTTGTAAAGTTCAAATTCAACAGTACAAAATGCCTAAAGCTCCTAGAATAGTGCGCAGTCGCTATTTCTTCTCTCCTATGCCAGGAAGAGATAACAATATGATAGTGCTCATGGATGTGGCCATTAGGAAATAGGTGTAGTTTCACCCACACCCACGAACAGAAATGGAAGAGCAGACTAGTATTTCCTGAAAGAAATCACGGACAGACATCATTGTTCTGACAGCCCAAGACAGCTTAGCACAAGGGGACTATCCGAACCAGATGTCCAAAAGGAGACATGTGTACTGTGGAGTAGAAACAAAATAGAAACAAAATGCAACTCTCTTCCTTACCTCTAAATTGCCCCCAGGTGATTGGGACGTTCAAAGAGGCAGTTTAGGGTAGTGGTCCAAAGTACTGCTTATGGAGTCCAAGGGTCTGAGGTCTGGCTCCTCCACTAGCTAGTTAACTGACTGGGAAAGTTGCATAGCTCTTTAATCCTCACTTTCCTCTTGAGAATAATAATGATAAACTTATGAGAAGAGCCCCTTCATGAGGTGGTATAGAATGAAATGAAGTTCATATACACATCTCTTAGCACATACGTGGTCAGTAAAGAAGCAATTGTAGCTGAATGATGATGACGATACGTGACATGGGAAGGTTTGCTGCCTCAATGATATTAAGAACATAAGAGTCCTAGGTATTTGAGCTGTAAACGAAAAAAGATAGAAGAGCCCTTTCCCAGGCTGGTGTGCGCCACCTTCCCGTTGGTTTACGCCTGTGGTCACCTGGACCTTCCACCAGCCAGGAGTCTCAATCAACCCAATTCCCAAGTAGTATAAGGAGTGGAGGGCCCCAAACCCACACCTTAGGTCCTCATGTGGGGAACTGAAATCCCCTGGTAAGTAGAGTTGAGGCCACATCCGGTATCGGTATCAATATCTAAAGAGCACTTCATGAACTCCACACTTCAGCTCTCCCCCTCTGCACCCTCCCAATGGTATTTCTAGCTGTGTTGCTGTATTTATTATTTTTACATGTCTACCCTTGCTAATGTTAGAATTCCCAACTCCTTGCTTTTCAAATGCCTTCTAAGTTGTTCGACTTTAAAACAAAAGATCAGTAGGAAAGAAAAATTAAGTTATCAAAGAAAACAATGACATCCCAGATGAGTAAGAATCAGATCTGAAGATCTAAAAGGAAAAACGTATTCGTATCAGAGATTACTTGTTCTCAGTACCTTTACATGGGCCGATATAGTCATTAGCTAAACTGTTAGTTAAATCCACAGTAAGTCTTAATTTATTTAAAATATTTTTGTATTATTATTGAAGTATTCCACACACCCCCACCAGGGTAAAAGAATTTACCAACATCACAGTTTTAAAAATCTAATTAAAGGAACCAGTTGCTTAAAAATCTCAGTTGATTAATGGCCAAAGGAGGTCTTAGACCTGCAAAACATGCAATGAAAACATTTTCAAACAGACATTACTTTCAGTTTTGTAGAAAAGTAAAATTCTATATTATAATCTTGCAATTGTGATTTTTGTAAACTAACTGTGAAAGCTTTAGGCAGTTGAGTGTACAGAGGAACTAGGTCCAACATTTACTACTCAGGGTATCACAGACTCACGCTAACACCTACCTTATGAACAAGTGTGATTTGTTATGACCCTACAAAAATATGGAAGGTACCATAATATCGAAACACTTATAGAAACAGCGATTGTTACTCCTCTTTAATCTTACGTTATGCCCATTTCTGCTATGCTAACATCCTTACACATTGTACATGAGAAAACATCTTTGAAAGCATTGGGGGGATTCCCTGCTAAAGAATATTCGTACTTACCATCCTTTAATTTTTCTGAAAAGGTGTGGTTTCTTGTATAAGAGAACTTTTATGGGTACCCAAATCAACAGACACACTGAAGCCACATAGGCAATGGAACAGGAAACAATCAGCCAATAATGCGTTTTCTCGTATATAGTCCTTGTACTTTGATAGGCAGCGGCAAACTGCTCCATAGTCACAAGCGTGGGTATGGAGAAAGCAGCAAGCTCAAGAAGCTCAAACACCACAAGCTTGATTATTCTTCCAGAAGCCATCCCGAGGACATGCGAGCTGCTGAGGCCCAGACGCTCTCCCTCTGACTGGGCAGCATATGGACACACAGATACCGAACGACGATCAAGTTCCTTGTACTCGAATCACTAACCAGTGACTTTTTATTCTTTTATTGACCCTCATATGGTTCAATGATCCTCCAACTTAACAACCGAGTTCTGTTAAAGAAACAGAGCAGTTGTGGAAGTGATCGCCTCCTGTGTTTGCACATCCGTTATTAGAAGTCAAATGAACTTTAGAACGTGCTTTGAAGCACTGTTAAGAAGAGGTTTTTTAATGTAGCTTTGATTGCTAATTTGAGCACAAAAAGCGTTCATATAATATTTAACACTTGTTAAGAAGAACCATTAGAAGAATATAATTTTACAGTTAAAGGGGGACGCAACCTCCTATTGTTATAGCTAAGAAAATTCAGGCAAAGCGAACTCCCCCAAACCTGAGTCTTCAATCTTGGAAAACGACCCCTCATTTTTCTTCAAAGTGCTGGAAAAGTCGGAGTTTAGATTTACTTTGCCAACTTCCTAACCAGACCTCTTCCTGGTACTTGAATTATTTATTTGTCCTTACACACTAATTGCTATGTAATACAGATTAATGTTATTTTTATTTTGCTGGTCAGGAAACGAACATGGCCATATTAGAAACCTGTTATCAGGATTAACGCTAAATTAAGAGCTATCTACATTTGTCCAAAAATACATCAACTACTTAAAAGACAGCAATTGTCTCCATGAATATCCTTCCTTAGCACCTGTGTTAGGTGTTAGGTGTGAGGATGAACAAGTGATGGTAGGTTCCTGCCCTGAAAATGTCCATAGTCCACTGGCGCAAACAAACCTATGAGCAACAAAAAGTAACTGAGGTCAGAACTACAACCTGAATGCTATGGTAACACACAAGGGAACTTCCTCTTTGGGCTCTGGGAAGGGGAAAGAAAGAGAAAGACAGGGAGGACGGAATGGAGGGTGTTGGGGTGTCAATGACATCTCGGGCAGTAAAAAGAAGCAAGGAGGCTGCCATGGGTTACAGAGCCTGGCATGACATGCAGGAAATAGGGGAAGGTGAGGTTGTAAAACTTGGCTGGGATCAGGATGTAAATGTCCCGTGAAGGATTTGGGGTGTGTGTAAAAGCAACTTTTTCTGAACAAAGGAGTCACTTGATCGTCTGGAAAGGACAGCGAGTGCAGGTGTGGAGGAAGGACAGCAGCAGCCTTCACCTGGAGGTAGGAAGGCAGCTGGGAGCAAGAGATGACAGCCTCGGCTAAAACCAACGGAGCAGGGCCATGAAGCGAGCGCTGCATCCTCAGACACCCACTCAAATGCCTTCCGCGTACCTGCTCTTTAGGTGGCTCCCCCTGTGCCTGCTGTCAGGCTGGGGAGAGCCAGTGATTGTCTAGTCTCCTTCCTCCCAAGGCCCTTTGCGGAAGGGGCCCTATGCTGCCTGGCTCTCCAGCGCACCTAGGACGCTGGGTAGCTAGCTCTGGGGAATCTCGCCTCCTGCCCTCCCACTGCAGGAGAACCAGTCAGCCTGTGCCTCCAGCTATCTAATTATTTTATCTGAACTTGAATTTGGAATGCACTGAGGTTGAGCAAAAGTCCTTCCTCTCCATGGAAGAAGAGATTTGGAAGAACGGTGACAAGAATATGGAAGGATGGGGCAGAAAACCGTCTGAGCAGCGTTTCTGTCACCATCTATTTCTAGTATCATATAGTTGACATCAATTCTCTATATCATCCCTAACAAAAGTTTCTATTTAAAAGATACTAGATACAAATTATGTGTTAACGTCCTAACCCTCCATCTTGAGTCATCAGTGCAATGTTGTATTATGAGTTTGCATACAAACTTTGTGTATTAATAGGAATTGTGACTTGAGCATTTGAGGAAAGTAGTTGAATAAAAATAGCCTGGCTTCAGGAAAAAGGACTCTTGCCCAGGTCTATAATTCCATTTTAAATGTTCAGTTTTTCTTCCCATGTATGGAAATTTAAAACTGACACTCACTTTCTATTTCTTACTTATTATTTTCCTGTGGTTCCTAATCTCTCTTCACCTTCACCTTCAAAGACAACACCAAGAGCGTGAGCATTCCTGCGACATGACCTGCTGCTCTCTGCCACATGGAATGCTGTGATAACGAGCTGTGCTTTCTCTGAGCAGGAGTGAGGTTGTGATTCTCTCCCTCTGCCCTCAGTGAGCCCAACGCCATGTAAAGGAAGGACTGTGTTCACACTGCTCATTGAACATTTATTCTGTGCAGGTCATGGTAGAGGCACAGTCCATATTCACTTACACGGTCTGACAATTAAGTTCGTGAACAATGTTGCTAATCTTTTTTTATATCAGAGGAATTATTCATTATGAATTTGTACCAACTGGTACAAATAGTAAAACCAAGTTTACTATTCGGAAGTGCTGAAAAGGCTGCGTGAAAAAGTTAGACGACCTGAACTTTGCACCAACAATTCATGGCTCTTGCATCACAACATCGCTCCAGCTCACACGGCACTGTCTGTGAGGGAGTTTTTAGCCAGTAAACAAATAACTGTATTGGGACACCCTCCCTACTCACCTGATCTGGCCCCCAATGACTTCTTTCTATACCCGAAGATAAAGGAAATATTGAAAGGAAGACATTTTGATGACATTCAGAACATCAAGGGTAATAGGACAACAGCTCTGATGGCCATTCCAGAAAAAAAGTTCCAAAATTGCTTTGAAGGGTGGACTGGGCGCTGGCGTCGGTGCATAGCTTCCCAAGGGGAGTACTTCGAAAGTGACCATAGTGATATTCAGCAATGAGGTATGTGGCACTTTTTCTACGATGAGTTCGCAAACTTAATTGTCTGACCTCGTACACTCTGGTTAAGGACAGGACACAAATCCCAGGTAAGATCTGAGAACACTTATGGGGCAAGCTGGGCAGGTTAGGGCTGTGAAGGGCTATCCTGCCCCCAGTCCTCCATCTCCCTCCTCCAGCCACATCTGCAGGAATAGGTTCTGGGCCACAGAGCGTGCAGCCATCTAAGTATGGCCTGGCACAAACTGGGCCAATCACTTTCTCACCCTTAGAAATCTGAACTAAGAAACATGGGGAGGATGGGATAAGTGGAATTAGAGGAGGTCATGTTTTGAGTCAGGATTAGAGCAACCCAAACTGTAGGTGCTAGAACCACCCTTAGCACGTTGTTGACACTCAGTAACAGTTTGCCGAGTGAATGAATGAACAAATAGAAGCCAAATGGGGAAGGAATAGAAGAGGTGGTAGAGTAAGGAAGCCAATCCAGAGTGTGCAAACACTGGAACAAGTCAACAGGGAGATGCCAGCACACCACGAAAGACCAGTCCCTCAGTTGTTGAACTTTCCAGCTCACATGTATTCTTCCAAAATGAGGTTTTTGTTCTTTGCATCCAAAAGCCTTGAGTATAAGACAAACGGATATGTTTATGAGCAGGGGCCAAATATAATATAAAAACAATACATAAAACTACTGGATGATTCAGTGGAGAGGACTGAAAAAAAAAAACCAAAGTACAGCTGATCAGAGAAGGCTTCTCAGAGGAGGTGAGTTTTGGCCTGTTTGATTTTTATGCTGACTCAAAGCAATCTCTACATATTGCTCAGCACCTTCTCTAGATCACAGACTGATATTTCCTTTGAAAAAAACACTTCTACAATAAGAATGGTCATGATGCAGTGAGTGAGGGAGACAGGCTGGAGAGAGAATCAAAGCGTCAATGCCACATATAACAATATGGATGGCACAATCTTATTTTTGTTTTAAAATACAGTAGTTGTGTACTTAAATGTACACTAAAAATCCGGAAAGACACTCATCAAGCTGTTAACAGTGCTGCTGCCCCTGGAGAATGGGTGAGGTAGGCTGGAAGGGGCTTCCACTTTTATTTATTAATAAATACGTAATAAATGAAATTTGCATAGTGGTAATATTTCATAGTTGTAATTTTTGCACGTTGTGATATTTCACAAGCAAAACAAAAATAGAAAATAGAAATCAGTTAAACAAAGCAATTCCAGCTTGCTAAAAAATTTGTGCTCTATTAATTTTTTTTTTTTAATCTTTCCTCCACTAATTTGTTTTCCCTCGCCTCTCAGCAGAAGCAAAATAAACAAATTCCACTTCCACATATCCCTTTGATGGCAGGACCAAAAAGCAGTAAACTAGCCAGGAGCCAGCAGAAGACAGGGGAAAGGAACTGTTTCCTCGCTGGGCATGCTGGGTTGGATTTGGCTGCCTTCTCCGGATCTCACAGGAGAGCGTGAACCAGGACAGCCCTAGTCCTTGAGCCCTGGGTTTAAGCCCTGGGTGAACCCGCCCTGCCCCTCCCCCTCCCAGCAGAAGTGAGCACTTCCTCCTGTGAATCAGGACACCTCTGCACACATTCACACTTCTACTGCAGCCCTTCCCTTCCTGCTGTTTGTGCATTGCGTCACCGAAAACTCCCTGATGACAGAGAACATCTGCCTTCATCTTTGTGTCATCATGTCTCACTCAGCACAGTGCTGACCACATAATGCATATTTGCGGAAGCAACGCATACACAGATGAAGGGTAAGAGAAGTGGTGGGCAGCAGGGGTAACATGCTAGGCTTGGATAATAGCTAACTCACCTTTTATTCCAAAGGAAAGTTGTCCCTCACGCGGATCTTTCAGGGGAAATCATGTACTTACTGCCTGTCCCAATAACATATGTATCAGCCCACGAGCTTCCATTTCCTTGCGTGATCTGATTGGCAGGCCCCTCCTCAACTTCCGCCACAGTACAGCTCCTTAGGGTCTCTAAGTGAGGGGAAAAGACTAGACCCTGGGGTTGCGGTTTCTTTCTTTTTTCTTTTGTTGTTGTTATTATTATTATTATTATTATTATTATTATTATTATTATTATTATTTTATTAGTTTGAGGATTGCAGTTTCTTAATTTCATCCCATATGTTAGGGAAAGAGTATGCCCCTTTGC